AAAAAAAAAATGTCTCCATAAAAAGGAAAGTAATTCGATACGATTGAATTCTTTATTTAAAAATTTTTTCTGTGTATATTAGAAATTCGAAACGTTGGTTAAAAAAATATATATTATTTTTTTAAACTTTCTAGCCTCTTATATTTCCTAAAGTAATTGAATCATCTATCCAAACTCGAAAAATCGATTTCTCGAACTTTCAATCCGTCATCAACTTTCATTCACAAAAAATAATAATACAACAAAAACCACATACATCTATTCTATTCGTATTTGTATTCTTCCTTAAAATACATATCACAATGTTACAAACCTCAACGAACAAGCGTTACACACACCATACGCTTCCCACGATCTCAAACCTTTCCGATCTGAAACTCGATCAGAGCCGCACCGTGATCGAGAAAATTACAACAAATACATCTCGATAAACCGCCATCTAAATCTCTCTCATCTCTCTCATAACAATTATCTCAACTCACCTTCTCTTGAGAAAACCCCCTCAAAACGCACCTTGAGACGCACCTGTTCAGACGCCTTCCGTCCAGGTGGTTACGCGTGAACCAGCAGGAGAGAGCTCGTGTCTATCGCGGTATTCGAGGCGCAGGCCCGCGAGCCAGACTCCGGCTCAGTCCACGCCCCCGGCTTCGATCACGTCAGGGGTGGTTGGAGAGGTAGTGGTGGGACGGTCGACGGAGAGAGGTTGCGTCGAGGCAGCGAGGGGAAGCGAGACAGAAGGGTGGGTCGCGCCCCCCGTGGAGCCGCGTGACGTCACGAGGGCCGAATCAATATCAACGGAGCCATTCCTTCGACGCCGGTCCTTGACTACGAGAGAGATACAGACCCCGTCAGTACGGGGTGGTCTTCACGACCGTAAACGACAGCGTCAGGGAGCGCGTCGACCACGCCGACGACGAGCGAGAGGAGGACGAGGAGGACAACTGTCACGGGTAATTTGCTCGTCAAGTTGCTCCTCAGACAGCCGCTCCTCATCATCGATCGTTCGATCGAACGCGATATCAAAAATTCTTCGCGCCAATAATTTATCGTTTCTTCCGCTTCCCCCCTTTTCTTCACCACCCTCGAGGGGTAACGACGCGCCCGCGACGAGAAAGTGATTGATCTCGACTCGAATGTCGCGGTAACGGCTCGAGAAAACCGGTGTGCAAGTGGTTGGAAGAGAATTTTCGAACCATCGGATTTCGTTTCATCGTTGCGCGGCCGCGCAAACAGTGAGCGAGTAAGTAAAATTTTCCTCTTTCTCTATCTATCTATCTATCTATCTCTCTTCTCTCTCTCTCTCTCTCTCTTTATTCCTTTTTTTTCCCCCCTTTCAATCCGAAGTTCGATGGCTTGTTCGAGGAACGAGAGGTTTCTCTATAGACCCTCCTCCCCCTCCGCTCACGCTCCCTCGCTGATGGCTAGAGTTGTTCTTTGCGTGACACGCGATCAAGTCTCAGTTTTTTCGCTGTTGTTGCTCGCGGTTGATAAGATGAATAATACGGAGACAAACGTTAATCGCGTTCGTGGGAGTAAGAAAGATAGGGGAGGGGGTTATACCCGTACGAATTTCGATCTTTTCCTCGCAGAAAAACAGTTTTCGATCGCCTGATTTTTGGTTACGTAAGACCGCCCTCCTGTCTTACGTGTACACGCGGTTGCATCTCCCGGGGACGTGAGAGATTGGAGGGTAACGTTATCGCGTCGTTCGATCGAGGAATTAATTCGAAAAAAGAATTTGTCTCGGAATAACAACGCTTAACTGCATCTATCGTTCGATTCATCACCTCCTCCTGCAATAAATGAGTAATCGAAATAATCGATACGATACTTTTAAACCAAAAAAAAAAAATTAATTCTTCGTAATTTCGAAAATACATCTAATCTTGAGACAAAAATTAAAAAGAAAAAAAAAAGGGAAGGAGAAATTCATTCATTCTCCAAGCGATTCATAATGATTTTTCTGCCGAGAAAAGCGCGCAGATACACACACGCACACACATACATACGCATTCGTGGAAGGATCCAGCTCGATCTATTTCAGGTGAAAGACCGTACTGATCGGCGAGATCGGTGCTGGTGGCACAAACGAGGGGAAATACCGAGGAGGAAGGAAAAGCAGCAGAAGGGAAGCAGCAAGTTTGGTGAGTTGGGTGAAAATCGATGGCCATCAGCGCCCATGGGCGGCCTCGCGTTTAGAACAAGGAATAGCCCCTCCCAGAAGACCTCGCTACGGTGGGGTGACTGCTGCCCCCCAAATCCCAACCCTCCGTCGTCGTCGGCCGTCTGGAAGGACCGTCATCAGGACATGCCTCCGGTACCCGTGTGAGGCTGTCCCCCACTACTTCGTGATTGTACCCCGCGGGGTCTTCAGAGGTACTGTTCGTTTATTCTTCTCATCCGATCCAAGCACGGAACACTTGTTTCTTTCCCTTCTTCTTTTCTTTTCTTTTCTTTTCTTTTCTTTTCTTTCTCTTTCCCAACGATTCTATAATTACGCATGTCTCTGCATAAGCTTCACTTGGCGGCTGGTTCCAACCGACGGCTTTCAACCTTTTCTTCCTCCCCTCGTGTATGTAACGTGATAAAGGATTCGTCGGAGATCAATTAATTCGATCGAACGTAAATCTGGAGAGAGATGGAGTTCGATCGATATTTCGTTCTCTATTTCTTTTCTCTTATTTTTTCTCGTAGAAAATGATAGATAGATTCAATTTGAAATCGACGTCGTTGGAATTTAACGAGAAAAGTGGAATGAAATTTATAATTTAATAAGTTTTGTTGAAATTTAAAGGTTGAAGAGATATTTCCAATCTTGGTAGTTTCAATTGCTAATCTTCTTGTGGAATAATGTGGAATAATGTATTTAAGAAAAATTTTTCTTTATCCGAACTTATCTTCTTATTAATCAGGGTTTCTACTTTGGAAATAATTAATCGATCGGGGATAACGAAACTTATTAAATTATTAAATTAAATTAAATGAGGATTTTAAAGATGAAAATCCTTCTGACTTTTTTTTTTTTTTTTTTTTGATTATAGCAGTTTTATTTATTTTTTCCTTTAAATAACTTTTCTACAAATATTTCATTTCGAATGAAAAATTCAGTCTATATTATAAATAGTTTTATTAAATATAATAGTTTTATTAGACAGATTCGTGAGATACTCTTAAAAGATCGATTTTAGAGATTAAAACAAAAGTTTGTACATAAAAATAGAAAAGTTTATTTATTATAAAGGAAATTGAAGTTTAGAATGAGATAACTTTATATCCTCCTCGACCTGTCTCCTTCTAACATAAATTTCAATATATATATATAAAACTGTTTCAACTTTTATATTTGTTTTGATTATATTTATCTTTAGGATTAATCTTCTCAAATATTTTAACACTCTGTATGAAATCTCTCGATACATAATTCGAACTATGAAGATACTTTCTAGAGAAGCTAGTTATCCCAACAAAGAACTTAATTCCTTTAATTTCAATTGATTATTATCTTTTATGGTATTTTAAATTAATGCTTCATTTCCATTAATTAAATTAGAATGCAAACGATCCAGCTTAATATATTAATTTCAGTTACATCTATGAACGAAGGCCTTGCGTTTTATTTATGTTATCATGCCTTTTTACGTTAGCAGGCTGTGAGTTATTTTTTTTTTTTTTTTTTTTTAAATAGAAAATTTAACCCTGCATAGTGTGAAGCAGGGCTAATAGGATTAGAGGGTGAACTCAACCGAGCGATTAAATGCCTTCTGGGTAAGAACGTAGAATTTACAGTTAACTGCACGCATTAGATGCGAGTGGATCGCGTTAATTGACTAGAAAAGCGGAATGTAATTTCACCAAGCTGATTGAATCCTTCGATAAAATATAAATTATTTCTAATGGTATCCATCTAACGATTGATTCGAATGCTGTGAAACAATTAATTATGATAAAACTGAAGAATAAAAATGTGTCGTTTCTTAATTATGGGATTATATTAATTTATTCTGCTGAAGAATGACTATATTTTTGATATTTGGAATTAAAAGATTGTCCAACCTAATATTCATCTAATATTTTTTTCAAACAAATTGTAAATTATCAGAGGATCAAGAAAAGAATGAAATTTAATTCTTTAAGGGTCAATATTGCTTTCATTTGTAATTAATTTTTACTGTAATATATAGATATCAGTCTATTTTTTTAAATCATAGTAAATTTTAAGAATTTATTTAATACTCTTTCATCTTTTTTTTCAGTTAGATTTATCTTCATCATAGTAATTTAATATCAATGTATAAGTAGAAATAGTAAACCATAATAAAAATTTGATTATTTGAAATTGTAAATATTCATTGATTGACAGAGTTAATTAATATTTCTATAAAGTATGCAAATTATGAAACAAGTAAGCAGCATGTAAAAATAATTGAAAAATAAAACACGTGATATTTTGCATATTTTGGAACAAATTTAAGTTAACATTATAAAATCAAGTAATAATAATAATATTACTTTAAAATTCTAATTTCAATATGGAAAATTTGAATACTCTTTTCAAAAAAAAAATATTTCTATATAATCTACATTTTTAAAGATTTTGCTGCTTAGAAAGAATATAAGTGGTAATTTTTTCATTCTAAATTAAAAAATGAAAGATTATTTCCTAAGAGTATGGCCAAACATTTTCCTAGATAAAAATTTTTCTTCCTTTCTTATTCATCGAAACTGCATATTACATCATTCACTCTACTCCTCGCCAACAAACAAACTACGATCACAATAATTCGATTTTGTCCAAAGCATTTCTTCCTTCCGAATAAAATAATTCCTTCGATCAACTATTTTCTGCAAGCCTTTGAATGAAATCAACCCGATAAGAGATCCTACAGCCATCTCTTCGTTCGCTCATCGCTTTCCCTTTTCCACCTTTCATTGAAAAGAAAAAAAATAATCACCGTTAATAATAATCTTCAAAGAGAATCGATTGATTTATGTGCGGGCAGGTATCCGAATCTCCCAAAATCGGATCGGCCGCCATACCTCCCGGACTTGCGTCTCCGCCAGTTCGAGTTCACGCAAGTGGACCCGTACTCACCGAAGATGATCAACTTCGCCGGTATCGTGTCAATCGTCCTGTTCTACGTGCTGATCCTGGCTGTTGGAATATGGGCGGCGAGGAAGAAGGAAGCTGGCAACGACTCGGAGGAGGAGGTGATGCTTGCAGGCCGTTCGATCGGCCTGTTCGTAGGGATATTCACGATGACGGCGACCTGGGTCGGCGGTGGATACATCAACGGCACCGCGGAAGCTATCTACACGAGGGGCCTCGTATGGTGTCAAGCTCCTTTCGGATACGCGCTCAGCCTCGTTTTTGGTAAGTTTTGGTCAAGTTTTGGTAATTACATATTCATCGAGATAATTCATCGAGATGTGTTTTTTTTTCATATTCAACTTCTTTTTCCAGATTGTTGCTCTTTGGAAAATTATTATTATTTTTAACGTTGTGATACGAAATTTTTTGTAAAAATATTTATTATATACATAAATATGAGGATACGAGCAGGTTGCAAGTGTATTTTTGTTTAACTTTAAAAATAGACTTGTGTGTAGTTTCAACACGTACTATGTATATTCGTTTTTGATACAAGAAGAATTTTAATGTTAGCTTTTTCGAGTAAAAATTTAATTTTAAAGAGTTTTCTTTAATTAATACTTTAATAAAAATATTAATACTTTTGTCAGATATTTTTTTTAACAAATGCTTTTATTTCAAAGATGATACTCACTTTTGATTCGATACAGTGCTTCCTTGAGAAATTTTGCTTTTTATATTAGTAAAAATGTAATTTTAAAGAATTCAACGTGGTTATAATAAAAATAATTGCAATAGCCTTACTAAAAAAAAAAAAAAAAAACTCACGTCCCTTTTCCTTTTTGAGAATTCACAGAAGAATAAGAATTTCGATTTAAATTTAATTCGATTCAATTATAACGACGTAACGTTATATATACACATTGTTCGAGCCGATTGATAACATCTCCCAATGTTTATATTTCTTCGTAGTTTATAGGAGAAGTTTATAGTCGCTCGAGAACTTGATAATACGGCGTAGTATAGCTAAGGTAATAGAACACTTGTGATCGAGACTTCTACGTGTAATAACTTTCCAACGTGGGCTCTTTAAAATCGATGGCCTCGAGAAAGAATAAATATGTGTATAACCGTCCGTTGAAACTATGTATAAGCGTCTATTTACAGAACAATTGTGTAAAAAATGTATAACGAAAAAATCAAAAGTGTATGACAATTTTTTATAATGATTTTTAACCAATCTTTGAAGTAACCTTAACTATATTCTAAAATCTACTAATATCTACTTTTTCCCCTTTCAATAACATGAATTAACGAATCTTAAACAAAAATTTATAAAAATCGATAATATTTATACGATTTTAGAATAACAACGTGAAATACTTAATATATCACAACAAAGAAAGAGTTTTATCCCTAGCAATCGCTATCATCTTAAAATCATTTGATAATTCTCGATACATTTAATCTGAATTGTGATTACAGGTGGAATATTCTTCGCGAACAAAATGCGAGAACAGGGGTACATCACGATGTTAGATCCTCTTCAAGACGCGTTCGGGGAACGTATGGGAGGTCTTCTTTTTCTTCCTGCGCTATGCGGTGAGGTGTTCTGGGCCGCGGGTATCCTTGCAGCTTTGGGCGCGACGCTGGCAGTCATCATCGACATGAATCAGAGCGCCTCGGTTATTTTGAGCGCTTGTATCGCAGTTTTCTACACGCTATTCGGGGGTCTTTACTCTGTCGCTTATACCGATGTTATTCAACTTTTTTGCATCTTCATAGGATTGGTAAGCCGAAAAAGTGATGCTTTGTTCTCAAGTTGAATCGAAACTATATTTTTAGTTTATTTCTTTTCTTTTTTAAATAATAAGCTCTTAAAATTCGAGCACAAGCTCACAAAGTTCGAAGGCATTGTTTTCAATCTTGCAAATTGAAATTATTCGTATTCTGATAAATGTTGTATCGTGTTTGCGAAAAAATAAAGTCCATTTCTAACAAGAGAAAAGCGATTTCATTGGATTACGAAATGTTATACTTTCGTTTCATCGAATCGTTTGATTATCTTGTTGTTAAAGTTGGCTTTGCAGATCGATACAAAGGCTCAAGTACTGGAAGTATTTATATTACCAAATTCATTCTATGCCATGTAGATATTAGTGACCTACTTCTTTCTTCCAGAACTGTTATCAGATTATCAATTTATTTCGAACTTCATCAGATTGAGGAATTTACGAGCAATATAATATAACATTTTATATCTCATATTAGATATATACCTTTTCATAGAAACGTTATAATTCTTTATTTTATATTTTAAATGTAATCCTTTCCTGTTAATCCTCATTATTTCGTTAATGTTTCAACATATTTTCTTGTTAAACGAATTAAATGAATCTAAATTATTGGACGGATATTAAACAAACGAACACTTTTCTGTAAATTTCTTTTTGTATTTTAAAAATCACTTTTTCTGATATTCATATCTATTTTGGCAATCATTCATTAGCCGTAATGAATCGCGATAACACATCACTTTAATTTCTCGATGAATTTCCAAACCAAAGATAATATCAGTCGTTATTCATTTTACACTATTACCATTACACGTTACAATTTAATTCGAAATTCTACAAACTTGATTGATCTAGATAAATCACCTTCTCGATTTAATTTTCCCAATCTTTTTTCCTAATTTAATTAAATCTAATAATAAAATAAAAGACATCTAATTTTTTAATGACACGTATATCATAATTCTCGTTACAGTGGATGTGTATTCCATTCGCTTGGACCAATCCGAAGGTACAGTCTCTTAAGTCTATGGAGGTGGATTGGATCGGTGAAGTGAAACCTGGGGAATATTGGTCTTACGTGGATTATGGTCTTTTGTTGATATTCGGCGGTATCCCTTGGCAGGTATATTTTCAACGTGTCCTGTCCTCAAAGACTGCTGGAAGAGCGCAAGTGTTGAGCTACGTAGCTGCGATTGGCTGCATTATCATGGCCATACCACCTGTCCTGATCGGCGCGATCGCCAAAGCAACGCGTGAGTAAAATCTATTTATACAAATACATTCGATCTTTCTCTCGAATTTTCTCGAATTAACGCTCTATCTCTTATCGCTTATTGCTCAAAATTATTATTACAATAGAGTTGTAAATATAGAGCATCTTAGACCATCGTATTGATTGGATAAAAAGATATATTTTCCTTTTCGCGCTGTTTCTTTACGCCAAAAAGCAACATCTTTTTATAAAATTCATACATCACGTTCGATACCTAAAAATCTCTAATTTTTCATCCCGATTTTTCAACGATCATTTCACCCTCAACTTTACCCTTTCTCTCCTAGCTAATTTTCCCAACGAAAATCTAAAAAAGAAAAAAAAAGAATTCTTCGTGAATAAAAATTTCAAAAGGTACGCCCCCAGCTGTTCATTTTCTACGGTTACGCTTAGGATAGTAAATTCCAATTTCATTGTATTAATAATAAACGAGTCGCGTCATCCTCTCTCTCTCTCTTTCTCTCCTTGGTTCGGCTGGTTTCGTGCGAGGGGGAAGGGAAACACGTTTTCATGGGTTGCCGAAGTCGAAGGGGGATTGAATTAGACCCGGTTTGCTCGTCATCCCCTTCCAACTCGCGCTCGTAGCCTACTTGACATTTGGTGGCACTGCAGACAGAGGACTACTGGTATTTACAAGGTTCCACGTCTAAGCGGGTCGGTGTTGTAACGGAAGGGTGTGTGGGCGAGGGTTGGCTTGATATCCCACAGCGTGTACAATAGCGTGGGATTCTGTCATATGGCGAGAGGCTCGAGGGTGAGGGTGATAATGCGACCCGTGCGCTACACAGTTGAACACAATGCTGGAACCGCTGGAACTAATGCGGACACGCTGTATCGGTATCTCGTGTATATTTTTTTTATTCGCAAAGACAAATAGTTTCTTATCTCCGCTCGTTTCCGCGAAGGGAAGTTTTCTTTTTTTCTTTTTTTACAGGCACGTATCATCAGATCTTTGTAACATTTTTAATAAATGTTTGCAATCGAAATATTTCGTTGAATGTTGATGCTTATAGCTCGATCTTTTCCCTCGATTGTTCAATTATTATAACACGTGTATATTTGATTTGTAGAATTGTTGCAAAATAAGAGGTAAAATTAAAAAATTGTTGTTTCAGCTTGGAACGAGACAGGCTACACCGGCCCGTATCCCTTCACCGAGGCTGAGACAAGCATGATTCTGCCGATGGTTTTGCAGTATTTGACGCCAGATTTCGTTCCTTTTTCGGGTTAGGGGCAGTGTCAGCGGCGGTGATGTCCTCGGCGGACAGTAGCATCCTTTCGGCTAGTTCCATGTTCGCCAGAAACGTTTATAAATTGATCTTCCGCCAGAGGGTAAGTTCTCTGTCCTGTTCCTTACACAGATGGCCGAACATTCCATTCTCGACAAACATCGTTTCGTGTCGCCGTATGCGTGTCGAGAGACACGTATCATCATCGCTATTATTCTCGCCGTAGCCTCATCATTCATATCGTTACCATCATCCACCATCGTACCATCATCACCCACGCTCTCTTCTCAACCTCCATCCAACGAATTATCGTATAACAATTACGATAATTCGATTCCGGAGTAGAGGAATCGTTCGCAGAAAGATAATTTCTTTCTCTCATCGAATCGTGTCTCACCCGCGTCTCAATTCCCATTCGAACGAAACACACTTCGATCCGTGTCTCACTCAAAAAAAAAAACCCTTTATTTGTACCTCAATTCTCCACTTCTATCTATCTATCTATCTATCTATCTATCTATCTATCTATCTATCTTATCCTGGCGTCCCCATCACCTGAAGGCGTCCGAAATGGAGATCATCTGGGTGATGAGAGTGGGGATAGGCGTGGTCGGGGTGCTGAGCACGGTGATGGCGTTGACGATACCCTCGATCTACGGCCTCTGGTCCATGTGCTCGGACCTTGTCTACGTGATCCTCTTCCCCCAGCTGTTGATGGTGGTCCACTTCAAAGAGTACTGCAACACTTACGGCAGTCTGGCCGCTTACATAATAGCGTTCACCGTTAGGATCAGCGGTGGCGAGCCCCTGATGGGGCTGCCCGCCCTCATACATTACCCGGGCTACGACGAGGAGACGAACACCCAGGCGTTTCCCTTCAGAACCATGGCCATGCTGATGTCGTTGGTGACCCTGGTGGGCGTCTCGTACGGCACCCAGGTGGCCTTCCTTACCGGCAGGCTTGCGCCCGGATACGATTTCTTCAGGTGCGTGGTCAACATACCGGAGGACGTGGAGAGGGTCGGCCCTGACCCGGCCGAGGGCGAGCAGATGGCCGTGTTGGCGGCCGGTATCGGCAGGCTGTACGGCAGCAAGGACGAATCGAACGGCCGAGTCAATCCTGCGCTCGAGCCGGACTACGACATGGAGCCGGGATGCGATAAGGCGGCCGGGGAACCGGAAGCTGTTGTCGGCGGGGGTGGCGGGGGCGGGGCTGGGGCGCACCTCGTGCCCCACGGCCCGAACGTGCCACGACAGCCGCAATCCAGCACCGCGTTCTAATCCCTGGTTCCGTGTTCGGATGCTGTGACCAACAATAAGTGCGGCGGTGCAGGTCTGTTTCTTTTACGTTTCTCTTACGTTCCTCCCTCCCTCCCTCCCTGTTTTCGTCGAATTCATCGATCGATTCGCGTGAAACCTCGGTCGGATTCCCGTAAAAAAGAATCGTATTGTATTTTTGATTACAATTTCCTTTTTCTAGAATATAGGGATAGAGTATAGTCTCTTCGAGGAGAGTATAATTGTAAAGGAGAGAAGCGTAGTTTTCTGAATGTAACGTTTCACGCGACACGATCAAATGGTTTAATTGGTTTAATTATTTACCTACTCTCTTCTTCTGGATCTTTTCGCTGTCTCTCGTGTAGTACACTGGACGATTTATTTTTTCGATCGGGCCACGAAATTTTGATTAATTTTTGCGCACACTTAGCGCGCAAAATTGTTCTCTTGCTTTTCAGACATATTTTTTGAAACGAATTACGAATACAAGTCTTACGAGGCGAGGAAATTTTAAAAATTTGGAACTGTGTTATACGAGAGTAGTCAGTATTTGTATATCTTGGAGAAAAGTTTTATAAGGAAAGAATGCGCGCATATATATCGGTTCTTATCGAAATTGTTCGACAAGAATTAGACGATTTCGATTTCGAGATAGAAGAACCGCGAAGGAAATAAACGCGCGAATCTCTCTAATTTTTTTTCTTTTATTTAAAAATAATTTCGCGAAAGAATTGAAATTTCAATCCTTCCAAATTGTTTTTATATCCCCTTCTATCCCCTCTCCTTACGTCCACGAAGCTACGAAACATATATATCCGCGAATTTTCCTTTCGTAATTACGTAATTTACACGTAGTGATCACAGTTCTGTGTAAGTACCTGTGTTCGAAAATGCTGATTCGTCCTCTTCGAGCGGCGGGAAAAGCGAGTAAAGAAGTGTGAAAGAGGACGAATGAGCGAAAACTGGAACTGGAAAGGGGAAATGTGCAATACTAGAGAGAGAAAAAAAAGAAATCGGAGCTTCTTGGACAGTTTGGTGAGGTTTCGTTGTTATCCCCTGTGCCGCCAATTAGGCCTAGTGATCTGTTCCTTTTTTTGTAGAAATATAATATATATATATATACACACACACACATACACATACATACGTATATATACGCAATTACGCGTAAACACACGCTTGCGTAATTGCGCATGTATACGTGTACCATGTATTTAGAGTTTATCGAATTGCTTGAGAAAACTAACGTCTTGATGCACGACCGATCCGTCCCTCCCCCTTCGTTTATCACGAAGCGTATTTTAGAAAATTAAACCAATATATCTCGACGAGTATCTCGTTCGTTAAAAGCTCGTTAACTCGTGGCGAGCGGCTATATAGGTGGGCGTATATATATATATATATATAGGGTTTATAAATTAACGTTACATATCGAGTTTTTTAGAATGGGTTATCGATCGTTAGATTCATCGTTGTCATTTAGCGTCTCTTCCATTGCGTACGACTCGACGACGAGTCCTCAGTTCATCCCCTTCATCGTTCCTCATGCGTGCTCGCACGGTGTTAATGTCGCATCCTCATGAAATTTTATTCGAATTCGCTCTGTCTCGGTCTCGGTGTTAGAGGAGATAGATAAAAGTAAGCGAGAAATACATAAACGTCGTTAAGAGGCTTTTGTACTTGCGATCGATCGTTCTTCCCCTGCTTGAAGTCTGATGCGAAGGAGCATACATATCATTGTTTATATTATTATTAAGAGTGGAGACGAAGTGGAAGTTAGGTGTCGTAAAGCGTTGGCCTGTTCACGTAGCCGCTCGTCCAAATCTTCGAGATTTTTCGCGTGACTCGCGCGAGTCATGGCCGATCCGAACTCTTTCTTCGGAGGAGAATTTTCACTCGAAACGATGAATTAAAAAGGAAAATTGGATTTCTTTTCAAAAAATTAACAATTGGCTCTTGCAATTAAGCTTATTGCAATAATTTATCTATATTCGAGTCTATTCCATTATTATTAATTTCACCATTGATTCGAAACGTATCGATGATTTTCAAATTTTTGAGAAGGATAGGAATAAGTATAGTACGATTTCATGTTTATAATACGAACAAGTATAGAATCTTTATACAAATATTGCTTCAATTATAATACTACCAACTTCTTTCTACAAACGTTCCATTGAATGAGCCATCGAGCACGATGCGCGAGTCAACGGAAGATCGTTCACAGACGAATCGGTTGTTGCACGGATTCGTTGTGTTTATTATATAGTATATATACATATATATATATATACACATACACACATACATTGTACGATATAATTGACATTATCGGCATTAAAGCGAGACGAGTGAATTTAGAAATTATAAGAAATAAATAAGAAGAAAAAGGGAGGAAAATCAGATTTCTCATACATATATATATATATACACACGTACGTACATACATACATACATACACACATATACAAGAAGACTAACTCGTAGTTTTTAACGTGAAAGATACGAATTATCGCTGCTGTTATTGATTTCGAAAAATTGGTTTGTCAAGGTAGATACTTATATCGTTTAACGTAGCCGTCACATTGTTCGCGAAACGGTCATAACGCCTATGTAGTGGTATTTAAGTGCTCGTCACATAGAGTTGCTCATCCCATCGTTTACCGCCAAAAAGAAAAAAAAAAAAAAAAAGAAGAGAAGAAAAATGAGAGAAATCCAGGTGGCGCGTTAATCGAGTAATAGAGTTCCTACTCGATCTCCACGAATTATATCCTCTCGTTCGTCGAAAAACAATGGTCGAGCGAATGGAATTTTTAAAGAAATTTCTCACCTACCGTTTTCGTTAATATCTATCCATGGATAAATCTAAGAATGTATTGCGTGTTGTAATAAATGATTGCCATTTATCGTCATCACAAGAATGGAAAAAATAAATAAATAAATCGCGCGCAAAATTTTTCTTATCGAACCATTTTCATCGATCTCTGAATCGAAACCTAACCTCGAAGAAATCGATTATTTTTTAAAATTCTCGTCTCATCGAAAATTCATAAAGGAATTAAAAGAAACGTTGTCAACTCGTGGGAAATATGTAAATAACAATTTTTTTTTTAGAGAAAACGAGGGAGTTAGTTCCGGACGGAAGTCTGGCGGCTTGTTAAGCGAGGCGTCATTGCACGACGGTGAAATTACGTGTTCAGACAGATACGGAGAATCTAGTGAATCACGTCTCGCGCTCACAAACGCATCTTCCTCTTCTTGTACACGTCTTGTTATTCGATCGCGGTTGTTATAAAAGACTTTCACTCGATGATATCCGAGTCTGCGACTAGATGGCTGGGAATTATTAACATTTCCATTAAAAAAAAAAAAAAAAAAAGCCACTTTATAGCGGACAATTATTTTTTTTTATATACATATACAATGAAAAATAGAGCTAGACGATCGTAAAAACGTTTCTTTGACGAGAGAAATTGCCCGTGGGAATAATTTGGGTCAGGGATAATAAAAAGGAACGCGTTGAAAAATTCGTAGATACATTTAATCGTCGAATCGAAGAAGAAGTATATAAATTACTAGTTTTTTTTTTAGTATGGATCGTGAAATTATTTGTATTCCCGGGAACGATCGAAAGTTATTTTGCTTTCACTCTGTTGTTCTGTATTTTCAGAAATGAAATGAAAAGAAGGGAGACACGTATATTATACATATTTCTCAAAGAGATGACACAAGAATTAACGGCAACAAAATAAAATAATTCTCTTATCCGGTCGATTCGATCTAATCATCCTCATCCTTCGTTCCGCCTCGTGTGTCGTCGTGTATATCGTCATGTATTGGCGAGATAAAACAGTTATCTCGTAATATGCGAATAAATAATGTTGCGTAGATGCATCCGTGCGATAAGCAAGATCCGTTATTACTCGTAGTGGCATAAATGTTAATTATGAGAGAGAACGGCCACACAACGGTTACTATACATATCAAATATCGTGCATTGTAACGATGTAACGGGAAACCTACACACACACATTATGATGCGTGCTCTACATATACATACGTATCTTAGGTATAATTACATTAGTAAGATAAGGGACTACGTAAGACAGAGAAAAAAAGATGATAAAAAAAAAATAATATATATATATATATAAGATATGTATATACGTATTATATATATATAGCGTGGTTATATCCTCTCGCAGAAAAAGGGATCGATGGGGTTCGAAGCTTCACGGAATTAGGAGGATCCTCTCCAGTTTTTTTTTTTTTTTTCTTTTTCGAACGAGCGTCCTCCTAATTACTCTTCACTAATTTAATAACCGAGCGATTCGTGGGCAGAATAGAAAGATCGAGACACAAAGATAGAGGTCTCTCGATCGTCGTCGTGATAAAGAAAAAAATTGCGAGAAATTGCGAGAACAAGGCTGCCTGAACGCCGAACAAAAAAGAAAAAAAAATGGCTGAAATCGAAGCTGATCGATGGGTGCGAAACTCGTTAATAATTAAACAATCCGGTGTTACGCATGGAGCTCCAATGCTCCACCGCTTTGAAACCGTGTACCTAATGTTAATTGTACACCTATTTCGTCCTATCTCGCAAGCCTGGGACGCCTACCTATTATATATATATATATATAGTATTATACTATGTGTAAAAAGAAAAAAAAGAAAAAAGTAAAAGAAAAAAAAAAATATAAACGCCCGACTTCACCCCCATAAGAGCATATCCATGTATATGTATTACGAAAGCGTTACCGGTATATTGTATTATACGACATATTATACGTGTATAATTGAGAAACTGAACGCGATGTTGATTGTAAATGTTAAAAATAAACAGTGTATAAAAACACAACAAATTTCTCGACTTTCTGTTCTATTCTTAAATAAAATTATCTCGAAAAAAAAAAAATTCTGATCAAAATTGGTTCTGGTAAAAATTTTAAATCGTGAGATATAAAAATATAAGCCAATTATTATACGATTCAGTTGGATTTGAATATCTTTGATAAAAAGAAAAAAAAAAAAAGAATCGATTCAAAAGCTCAATCAAATATCGGTCGAGGGGATTATAGTTTAATGGATTCCAAGAAAGGAATGGTAAATAGGTCAGGACACACGTTGTAATTCCATCGAATCGACGTAAGGGGACGTAAGTTGTGATATTGATAGGTGTTTTTAGCCGGGTTACGACAGAAATAGGAAGAGCTCTCACTTATTCATGCCTTCCCGGTATTCGAGTTAGGGGAATCGATAAATCGACCACACCGAACGCACACCTCCCCCTTCCAGCCAACTCGACGAGAGTTGGAATCGTCTTATAGACATTCCTCCTTGTCCTTCCCTCCTCCTTGTCTTCATCCCGTGTAGCTGTAAAAAAAAAAAGGGGTAGGCGACTAGCATCCATCCAACGATTCTTTCTTTTTTTTTTTCAGCGTAGCGGCTTTATTATTAGTACAAAAAGCATTATTTTTACAAAATAAATAAGTTAAACAGGCTCTGAAGAAGGACGAAGGAACGAACTTTTACTCTTCCCTCCTCCTTTCGGAGGTTCTCGCGTGTCCGACTCGTTCCTTTCGTTTCGATGGAAAATTTATTATTTATTATTTATTATTATTATTATCATTATTATTATTATTATTAGCAGACGATTTTCCTTAAAAAAGCAATTAGGAAAGAAAGGCAATTATGATTCCTCCCTCTTTCGTTTTTACTTTCAGGAATATCAGGCCGCGTCATCGATGCACAACATTGTTGAAGTTTTACGAAAAGGGGGCGGTCTTGTTCAAACCGTTTAAACTTTTTAACTTTAGCGGATTTCCTGGATGCTTGTTGGGCGATGGGGGGGTGGGAGGGTTGGATGATTTTTTGATCCACGCGCGAAACCACCTTCGATTCGTTCCCCTCGAATCGGTTCATCGACGGTTGTTGATCCGTTAATCCGGAACCGTTTCTTCACGTTCTTCGGTTACCGGATCGTGGGTCGTGGGGGGTGGAGGATGTCGAATTTTTCTCGTCTCGATGGGCGGTGAAACACGGTCGAGGGTGGTCGCGGGGGGTCGTGAAGACTCTTCGCGATTAATATTGGTAACCACCGTTGCTAGCGTAGCTTTGACCACCTCCACCTCCGGAGTAGCCGCCACCGCCTCCGGAGTAGCCACCATTTCCTCCAGAGTAGCCACCATTTCCTCCAGAGTAGCCGCCTCCGCCGCCCCCAGAGTAGCCGCCTCCGCCACCTCCAGAGTAACCACCTCCGCCTCCTCCAGAGTAACCACCTCCGCCTGAGTAGCCTCCGCCATTGCCCCCTGAATAGCCACCGTTCCCTCCAGAGTAGCCACCACCGCCGCCGCCTCCAGAGTAGCCACCTCCACCTCCAGAGTATCCACCTCCGCCTCCAGAATATCCACCGGAGCTGGAATCGAAAAATCGTAATCTCAACAAATATTCGAATCGATCGTATATATCATTATTACATATCCTTGACAGGTAGAATTATGATGGACAAGAGATAGGAGACAGAGACATAGGATGACTAAAAAGAAGAGAATCGTAATTTCAATAAGTGAATTGATTATTATCGTGTACTCGTCTTTCTTAATGGGTAAAAAAGTATATAATAGAGGAGACAGATAAAGAAAGACTCGAGTAAAATTATAGATGTGGATTGTAGATGTAGATAAGTGTTGGATCGGTCTTTTTCTCTATCCTTTCCTTAGAGAAAGAAGAAATAGAAACGAAATATGTCGAATGCTTTCACAGTTAAACCAATTTTTACTCAATCGACCAACTGTATCTATTCCTATATATCTATTCCTTCTTTCGCAAATGCCCGTGCTGTGCTTTGAATTCCTTAAATCTACGAATGGAAGAAGAAGAAGAAGAAGAAGAAAAAAAAAGTCATAGATCCTTTACCCTCCGAAACTGCCACCACCGGTGCTAGGTGTACCGTAAGTGGAAGATGGTCTCGAGTATCCACCGCCTCCTCCGTTGGGTGCACCGTAGCTGGTGGACGGGCCTCCCCCGGTGGGTGCACCGTAGCTCGAGGATATCGAGCCGCCGCCTCCGCGCGAGGGCGCGCCATAGCTGGTGGAGAGTCCGTTGCCACCGAAGCCACCGCCGCCACCGCCGCCGCCGCCGCCGAATGAAGGAGCGCCATAGTTGCTGGACGGCCTTCCACCGCCGTTCGACGGCGCGCCGTAAGTGCTCGACGGTGCACCGTAAGTGCTCGACGGTGCGCCGTAAGTGCTCGACGGTGCGCCGTAGCTGCTCGACGGCCTTCCACCGCCCCCGTTGGACGGTGCCCCGTAGGTGCTCGACGGCCTTCCACCGCCGTTCGACGGCGCGCCGTAATTGCTCGACGGGGCTCCATACGTGCTGGACGGTGGTGCACCGTAGCTCGAGGATGGACGACCACCGCCGCCACCAGACGGGGCACCGTAGGTGGAGGACGGACCTCCACCGCCTAAGTTCGGTGTCCCATAACTCGTTGACGGTGGCAGGTAACTACCGGATATTGGCGCTGTAAATATGCACGTTTCTTTAGGATGATTTTCGTAAGAACGATATTTTATAATTTTATAAATAAGTGAAGCATGTTTTTCGAATATGGTGATTGATGAAATCTTAAGCTTTCCTGTATTGAACGAATTTTAATCGAAGTTGGAAAGTTGATATGAGATGAAAAACAAGTAATTTCGAATAAACGAAATTTAGGAGAAAATTCTCGACAACTTTGTTTCGACTGTTGTAACTCTGCGATGTTAACAAGATCACGATGACTCTCCTTTTGTCCTTGTATACGTGTTATTAGTCGGTGAAAGTGTGGGAGATGGCCAAATGACATTGTCTTCAGGATTATCCGTCCCGTGCGACCGTAGTTTACGACTTCACACAGTTGTTTTCTAAATTCATCTATACAACGTTCTCGACAAATTTGCTGAGATGTCACTATCTATCTTGAAATTGCCGAGGTCAAGAGCCACGATCGCATTGTCTTTAATCAAGTTCGTGACTGATCTCTCCATTCTCTTCTTTCTTTGTTCTACTGCCGGAAAGAATATTTGTAATTGAATATTCAAGGTTCTCTTAATGACTTATTTCTCTATTTGAGAACCACAAATTCTCTTTCTTCAAGATGAGTATAATGAAACGAAAGATGAAAGGAGCTTTCTTTAGGATAATTGCAAGATGTTTAATTCTACTTTTAAACACATAGTTGTTATTTTTCCTTCTTCGTTCCTTATTTATTTTCAAATTTATTTCCGCCGTTTCTTTGTTCAGATCAAAATTAGAAAAATGCCTTGCCACGTTTCTCTGTGTCTCACTTTGTTTGTGAATTTCATAATTTTTTTTATTGCGTAACGATATAATATACGTATCGTAATTCCTTACGTAAAACGTAAAATTTTAAGATAATTAAGATAATTAAGCAAACACGGAAATACTTGCGCGGTGTGGTTCATTAAAGATAATTCTTAATTTTCCTAAAATAAAGTATAAAGATTACAACACAATCTTAATTAGATCGTAACGATTTCCATCACGAAAACGAGCTTATCTTCGCGTACATATTTTTTAATTACACGCTTATTTAGAATATGAAAATGAACGATTATATAAATTCTTTCCTATTGCAAAGATTCATTTTTCTTTTATAAAAAGGAATAAAAATACGAAAATTAAGAATTATGGCGAAAATTGGTTTACATTCAGCAGCTACATAAGTAGAAAATGTATGTCAGATCACGAGATATCGGTTCAATTTGCACACTGTCCGCTATTCCGGACGAGGAAACGTATCGATAATTCACGCCGTCTCATCGTTTGAATATTTCATTCTCGAAGTGATCGCGATTTCTATTTTTTTTCCCTCTCTCTCTCTCTTCTTTTTCCCTCGCGTCCCAATTTTCGTTCACCAGGACGTGCAGGACGTCGAGGATCCACGAGGAGAAATTTATCATGGCGTGAAGAAGTTCATCTTTCACTTCGACCGAATCGGTCAGACAGAGTGATAGTGCTACCTTGTATCACGTGCTTTCAATCTTTTTTGACACTTTCTATCTTTCTTTCTTTCTTTTTTGTGTGTGACTCTCCACTTTCTACGTGTCTTTCTACGATTATAAGAAATCTTCCAACTCGTACACTTTGTACTTTCTCTGTAATTTTTCATCGTTTCATTCCCCTTTTATCGAGAGCAAGAGATTATTTTACAAGATCGATACAGAGTAGAGCTCCGCAATGAAATTTTCATCGACTAAGTCCAATTAACGCCAACCAAGTGAACCGATATAATTCGAACTGTGCGATTATTACGTAGATATTTACAGAAATGGACACGACGATTCCGATTAATAAAAATTTGATTCTGCACAGTTTTAATCGTGTTATAGAAGAAATCCTTATTTGGCAAAAATGATACGAATCCCAAAAGGAGAATTTCTTGCGATTGAATCTCTCCTTTTTAAAATCACGATCACCTCCCTCCCGTAAAAAACACTCTCAAATTCTTACCCTCGGCGTGGATAGGTTGCAATAGCAGGGCCGTAGCGAGCACGGTCGCTGCCAGGGGGGCCCAGCTCTTCGCGGGCCTCACGATCCCCATTACGACGATGACGAGTCCTCCCTAGGCCTGACGAGTTTTCCCTTTTCCTTTTTCCACCCGTGTGGCCGATTCACATGCACGAACCCTCTCGAGGGTAATCACCTGCCGCGTTTTTTTAAATCTCGTTACGTCAAGTCGAAATCAACCGTAATGTGAACAGAAGTGGGAGGCGATGCGGAGGCCTTCCCGGCGCATCCGTGAGATTTCGTCTAACGTGCTTCAAACATCGCCGATCCTTCTTATATAGTTAACCAGTCTTTCGGAGAAAGTCCTCGCGGGAGTGTAAGTGGATGCTCGCCTAGGCAAGGCAAAGCGTGGCTCTTGGTGAACGTTCTCGAGCGTGGGGTGAGAGACACGGGGAGGGGGAATTGGGGAGGAGGGGAAAGAAGAAGAAGAAGAAGAAGAAGAAGAGACGCGTGGTCGGTTGATCACGGGATCACGCTTCTTCTTCTTGGTTGACCCTGGTCAGGCTGTCCTTTTTTTTTTTTCTTTCTTTTTCGAAGCAGGTTTGCAGGTTTTTCTCTCTTGCTTTTTTTTTCTTTTCTTTTTTTTATTCTTCGACCTTCCTTTTCAATCCTTTCTTGACGAACGTCACACGGAACACGTTCAAAAGTCTCTAAGTTATGATGAATAGCCGTAGATACGGCCTTGATGTCACGGCTGATGGAAGAGCGAGCAGATGAGAGATGATGATGGTAACGATCACCCGAGGCGCGGACATGCATACTCATCGCGTACCGGCTAGTTTGATGTTTCGCCATTTTCTATAAAATATAATAATGCTCGCCCTTCGGCCAATTTTATGCTTTGATTGTTTGTCGTACTCGTTGAACTTTTCAACATGGGATGACCCGCCTCCTTTGCATCGTCGCGAGAATAATTTGGCTTTTTAATTTTTCATTTTTCATTTTCCAGGGAAAAGGAAAAAGTAATAATGATAGTTTGATATTGAATGTTTTTGAATTTTTTAGAGATTTGGAACAATAATCTTTTTTACTTTTTTACTTTTTAGAGGAAAAGAATAGGTATATTAAAAAGGATATTTAAATTTGAAAAAAATGAAAATATATTGTTAGTTACATGCTTTGCACATTTACATTTATGATTTTATTCTTTTAGAAAAATTTAGATTAGTAGTTTACAATTTTTTTTATTATTTTTTTTTTAAAAGAGAAAATTAAAGGAAGGATAGATAATATATTTTGCATATTTAAATTTGGAACAAGTGAAAATGTATAGAGTGAGATTATACATGTCATTGCCCTTAGTTTTCGATCTTATTGCATTCAGAACGCGGTTTTAATTCTTGTTACTGTTGGTCAAATTTTAGACACTCGTTTATTATAATCGTGATTCGAATACGCCAAAAAGTTCTTGCGCGTTGGACTATCGAGTAGGAAAGTAGTTGCATTCTTAATAGAACGCTCTGTGCATTTTGAATTGTAAGTAGATTGACCAATACGGCAGTACCAGTATCAGACGTTGCAGGAAATTATTATTATCATCGAATTCTCGTTTTAATTTTGATGAGAAATCTTTTTTATTGTCTGATACACGATAATTATGATATAATAATATTATAAGTAATGTAAATAATATAAGTAGTTATACATTCTTTACACGAAATTCTTTATGCTTGAAGAATTGTACGACTATTATGTTATTTCACTTTGCTTTAAGATTAGTAATTTTTTCATTTTCTTTAGAAACGATTGTTTTCCAAAAACGGTATAAATTTTTAATCAAATTTATTTATTAATTTAAAATTTCAATTGTTTAATTGAAATAATATATTTAAAAAACGTGTATTTATATAATTATAGGATTATAAAAATTTATGGAAAATTTATAAAATGCACATGATACGCAAAAAAAAAAAGAAAAAAACATTATTCTCACGAATTTTAATTTGCGTAAACTTCCATTATGCGTGATTCATATATTTATAAGTACAAATGCTATCCTTCCACTAATATTTTATTTCATTTCATCAATAATAATTTTATTTATAACAACAATAATGTACAATATGAAAAATATATATATATATATATATATATACATAACATGAATTTTCGTTTTACTTGACAGACACATGATCGATTAACGAAAAGTTATTATAGATGGCACTGCCGGTTCATTTTGAACTTGTGATAAATTCGCACATATTCGAAATATACGAAAATATTCATTCGCGAGTAAAAATGTCTAAAATTGTAATTGACATTACGATCTAAATAAATCAAATTGGCAAATATCGAGTTACATCGTATTTTTTTATTTTTTTTTTTTTGCGCAACCGCTTGAAAAGGTTTGTCGAAAGCCCCAGCCTCGGTTAAATTAGGATTAAGAAGGCTGGCTGCATGGGTGAGCACGATTAATGTTGCTACTTAAGCAAGCACTTGTCCGGAACACGTTTTGCTCTGACCCATTGCGATATACGGAGCACGGATGACGATGATTTCTAGGCCGAGGACACGATCTGTCTACACGAAGTTGGTGTTCGAAAAAGGAGAGGAAGAAGAAGAAGAAGAAAAGGAAAAGGAGGATGGTATCGGGGATATACAGACGCATCGTTGGGAGATGCTTGCAAATCGACGTATTATTGCCAGTTGCTCGTTTCGTTACCCTCTTACTCGATCTTCTTCTGCGCTCGATGATCTACGACGGCCGATTGCATCTGCGCTTTCGCGCAAATTTATTTCGCCTGGTTAGACGCTGCAAATTGGACGAAACGAAATGATGCATCGATTTCTTCTACGCCGTTCTATTACGAACGATCGAAAGGAATTTTTGCCCTCCTTTTGGAGGACGGGTTCATTTCTTCGATCGATTTTTATGCTTAACATTTTTATTGAAATTTACTTGTTGTACTCATTTTGTGGAGGAAGAATTAAGTGATTTGGATATTTTTAATGAAAGAAATGAGATAATATATGGAAGTATATATGAAATTGTTATGAATATTGAAGAGTTTTAGAAAGATTATTAAAGATGATTTGGAATATTTGGGATCCATAAGAAGAGGAAAAATTTGAGATGTGTTATTATTATTATTCATGTAACACAGAATAATGCTAATTATATACTGAAAATTTCAAAATATCTTTTACATATTTAATCGATAAAACGATTACTTAATAAATTGTTCTACATGCTTGTTATTTGATCATAATCCAACTTGACGTAATCTAAGTAATTTCAAAAATTGAAATAAAAATCATATCAACACGATAATTTATATGATTATCATGCAAATTATATCATAACTCTATTATATAATTATTTCTTTTTTAATTTTTCTTAAGATTACTGAAAACTATCCTCCTCTACTAGATTTGATCTAATTTCAAATCTAAACCAAGTTTCAAATTTGAAAAATTGAATAAGATCGTGTATAATTTGTATAATTATCACGCAAAATTATTCCTTTCTCAATTTTTCTTAAAATTGCTGAAAAACTACCTCCTCTACTAGATTTGATCCAACCTAAACCAAGTTTCAAATTTGAAAAATTGAAATAAGGATCGTGTATAATTTGTATAATTATCACGCAAAATTATTCCTTTCTTAATTTTTTTTTTTTAAAATTGCTGAAAACTACCCTACTCGCAAGATTCCTCCAATTTTTTGTTCTTCTTCCTCTACTTCCTTGGAATCAGAACACAGAAAATCGCAAGATACGATCTTACGATTGGATAAACGTTTCCTTCGAGTTACACGATCCCTATTCGCTTTTTCCCCTCCCTTTCCTCCCCCTTTTCGAACCGATAATAAAACGCGATGTTCGCGAAATACAACCCGACACTTAACACGCTCTCACTGATTGCTGAAAGAACATTGCTAAATCGACGATTTATTATTGCTCGTGTAGCAATAACGTGGCCAATGCACCACGGTGTACCACGGTTGCTGAGATGCACCCGCTATGACAACGTTGCGGTAATATGAATTGTTGGCCCAGATCCGTGTGCGTTTATCGGCGAGTGTTGAGCATTGATTGGAGCCGTTGCAACAGCGGCTGCGTAACGAAAATATCAAACCATTCCACATTTAACTCTCTCTCGTCTGCCTTAAAATCGATAAGATCTCTCTCGCGAGAGGAACGAGAGCATTTCGGCTCTTCTCCCTTCGTAAATTTATTATTACACGAAAAAATTACACGACGAATATCGCTTTGTAAAAGTCGATACTTTGCAGAGGGAAGTTGATGATGAATCCTCGTTTGGACGAGGATAAGGATAAGGAAGAGGAGATCGATGTTCGAGACGAGTTGTTCTTACTTTTATTCTTATTTTCAGAATCTCACGATGATTATTACGATCGATTATTGGAAGTTATTGGACGAATCTATGGTATAAATAAAGAAAATCTTTAAAAAAAGTTGTACATCGATTTGATTTTAGATTTTGAAATGAAGAGAAGATCGTATCGTTTAAAAGAAATAATCAAAAAATTCCCAATCTTTTAAAACAACCAAAAATATTAAACGTATAAAAATAACACAAGATACTCCTCAAATTATACTAATTTTCGAATGAAACAATTCTCCGTTTAAACTCCAGAAACTTCTTTCGAACGTCTGAAAATTACTGTCAACATGTCCATTCACGATCAATTTCAAATTAATTAATCAATCAGATACAAGATAATAATAATAATAATAATTTGGACAACAAGCATTGCGATCTTCTCCAGAACTTCTTCAGCAATCGTTGCAACAGGATAATCCGTCGTCGAACTTTTAATCACCGTTTCCACCGAAAAGAAGCCGCTGTTGCTTACCAGGTAAACCGATTTGCATACTCGGAACAATGGCGCCAGCGTAATGGAGGGGGAGGGGCGCGGAGGGCGATTGTTCGAGGAAAAGACGGGGGAGCGTGTTCGCCGTGTTCCCGTTTTTCGGCCGCGATTTCCATAACGCGCGGTCGTGGAGTGGATGGAAAGGAGGATGGAGATGGATGGATCATCGCGGGGTAGGAAAAAGCGAAAGTCGTT